TGAGGTCTCACCAAGTTGCCCAGGCGGGTCTCGAACCCACGGGCTCAGGTAATTCACTCACCTCAGCCTCCCAAAGGCGCGGGATTACAGGCTGAGCCACCAAGCCCGGCTAAGTAGGTAATTCTAACGAAGACATTCAGGGTTTTCTTATTGGTTCTATTGTCTATTTTAGAATATAAAATGCATGATATCAAGGAACTTACTTACCCCAGGCACCAAATCTAATGGTAAAAGGAAAAAGAAAGAAGAAAGAAAAAGACAAAAATAAAGCAAACACTTTATTCAAGGAGATTCCTGGAGGTGGTCTTGTCACTATTTTATTCAAGTGCCTTCTTTCCCTGTGTTTCAGTGTTTGGAACAGAACCAGATATGATCCGGGATGGATCAACCATTCCCATTGCCAGATTATTCCAGGAGATTATCCACAAGAGTGTGGTGATGATCCCGCTAGGGGCTGTGGATGATGGGGAACACTCGCAGAATGAGAAAATCAACAGGTGAGCTGATTCCCGTTCAGGGCTCGCCCCTCCCCACACAGACCCAGGGTCCACACTTGGGTGCCTCCTGCTCGATTCACGTGAGAATAGAAAATATTATGGATTGTGGTTTAAGCAACAGACATTTATTTCTCATAGTTCTGGAACCTGTAAGTCCAAGGTCGCGGTGCCAGCCCATTCAGGGCCTGGTGAGTGTTCTCCTTCCGGTTCTTGGATGGTTGCCCTCTCCCTGTGTCCTCACATGGTGGTGAGGAGGGTCTGGAGTCTCTTTCTCTTATTTATTTATTTATTTTTGAGTAGGAGTCTCACTCCGTGACTCAGGCTGGAGTGCAGTGGCATACTCACAGCCACCCCAGCATCGACCTGGGCTCTGGTGATCCTTCTGCTTCAGCCTTCCAAGTAGCTGGAGCTATAGGTGTGCACCACCACACCCAGCTAATTTTTTGATTTATTGTAGAGATGAGGGCTCACCATGTTGCCCAGGCTAGTCTCGAACCTGCGGGCTCAGGCAATCCTCTCGCCCTGGCCCCACAAAATGCCCTCTTATTGTCTTGAGTTGGGGTCTCACTCTCACCTACACTGGATTTCAGTGGCACAATCAGAGCTCACTGCAGTCTCAACCTTCTGGGCTCAGGTCAACCTCCTGCCTCTGCCTTCCAAGTAGCTAGGACTAAAGGCATGTGCTACCACAACTAATTAATTATGTTATTATGTTTACTGTTATCTTTTGTAGAGATGGGGGGAAGGGGGGGATGTCTTGCTTTGTTGCTCAAGCTGGTTTTGAACTCCTGTCCTCAAGTGATCCTTCTGCCTTGGCCTCCCAAAGTGCTGGGATTACAGG